GTTAATAACAACCTACATCATTTATCATTTTAACTATTGTTTATAGACAAAATACAATATTAATCATGATTCATACAACTTGGATTACCAAATATTTAAACTTTAACATAATTACACACCAACCTAATAATCTTATATCAACTATCTTGAACACAATTACAGAATTATTAAAAATAACATAACATAGAAACCTATATTTGATTATACAAACCTATACACTAATGATTTCAACTGAATGTTCATCAAGATTATTCACACTTGATCTACAATTGAAATTGATCCTCAATTCAAATAGCTCATTTTTATTTTGTAAGAATGTTCATCTCTGTGATGCTTGTGGAACAGATAATAATTAGTTAACTTCCCTTTTGTCATAGCGGGAAAACCCATTGGTTTCGTTTTTTTTTTTTTTTTTTTTCATGTGATAAAGCGCGCATTTTGGGTATTTCTTTTATAAAAAGTTTCTCCCCTTCCGGGAATCGAACCCGGGGTATCAGTGTGAGAGACTAATGTGTTACCACTACACCAAAGAGGAATTAGATATTATTTTTATGGAATGATAAAATCTTTATTTTTATTAAAATTTTGGAAAAAATCCAATTGCATGAATATCTTATTTGTTTTCATATTTTTTAACATTTAACTAAAAATAATCCACATTAATGTCATTACAAACAATTTTAACTGTTGATTAAATCAATATGTTTTTACTTTTTTTTTTTTTCTTTTTCATTCCTATTCCTTATTTTTTTATGATTGTTTCAATGAATAAAATTAAAGAAATAGGTACAGGTTCACTGTCTCAATCACAATTGGCAGCAGCAGCAGCGGTTGGTGCATCATCAACTACCACCTCACCAAATACCGCTCTAAGAAAGAAATATCTAGATCTGATAGAGTATGGCAATAAGCATTATGAAACAACAACACAGAATCTCTATCAACTACGAAAAACAATCTTGTTGGAAGGCTTACCTCCCGAAACTGAAGTAACTATACATTTATTTTATATTTCACGATCCTATTTTTTAACTAATAACAAATCTATATGTAGGAAGAAATTGAAGATAGAAGAAAAGATAGTCCGAGATGTAGTTTAAGAGGATTGGTTTGGAAGATACTTTTAGGTATAAAAGAATGCGATGCAGAGAAATATATCGAATTACTCAAGTTGGGTTCATCCGATCAATATCAAAAGATTAGAAAAGACATCAGTAGAACATTTATGAAGGATGCACTCTTTTGTCAAGCGGTATCTCAAGACAAACTATCGAGATGTCTTAATGCCTTTGTACATATGACTTCAGGTAACAAACTACAAACTATATAGCCATTATAACACTCATAAAACTAATAAATATAAAAAACAACCAATAGAGATTAAATCAAATTTAAATTATGTTCAAGGAATGAATGCTATATGTGGTGCATTCTTGTATGTTTTACCAGAGTTGGATGCATTCTATTGTTTTCAACAATTGGTGTTACATTACTGTCATTTGTATTTAGTACCAAAGATTAGCGGGGTTCATACAGCTCTTAATGTAAATATTTATAAATTATCGATTGACAATAACCTTTTTTTATTTATTAAACTTTTTGTTTTTAATCTAGATTTTAGATACTATTTTAGAATTTGTTGATCCAGAACTTTATGGATATTTAAAAACTAGAAGCTATGATCCTGTATTATTAACTCATGGTAATTTTAACAATACTATAAAGATTAATGCTCCTCTTTTTTTTTATTAACTTTTTTTTTTTTAAAACAAATCAGCAATTCTAAGTTTAGGTACAAGTACACCACCGCTCGGAGAACTTCTACACCTTTGGGATTTCTATTTTGCATTTGGTATTCACTTAAATGTAATATGTACGATTGCACAATTGTTACTGATGAGAGACACACTATTGGCACACCCATCTCCTTGCTCATTGTTTAGATCACTACCAGAGTTGGATTCTGAAACAATCATCAACCTTTCCATTCACATTGTACGTCAACTACCAGACGATCTCTATGACCTTTTAGTTGACCATCCCATTGCAGACATTAGTTCTCAAGACGAATTTGTATAAATATATCGAAATCATTAAAACCAAACAAAACCAACAACTATCAACTATCAACTAAATATTACTTTGTTGTATAAATTTAATAACCATCAATATTATAAT